AACAGGTTGAGCCTTTCCTCGACCATGCCATCACGCGCCACTACCTGTCAGCCGCGGGCGTGCCCGACCAGGGCGGCAAGATCATTGCCGAGTATGTCTGGATCGGCGGCAGCGGCGCGGACCTGCGCTCCAAGGTGCGCAGGCGCAGAGATCCGAGTGGGGCTGTGTGCGCATGCTCGTCCCAGGCGTGTGCTTAGGCGCCACAGCTGCGCGGCTGGGGGTTGCTCGGTCGCGCATGGGCCGGCACGCTGCACGCATGCGAGGTGGCGCTGATGTCAAGCGCGGGCAGGGCTGGCGCATGGCACATGCATGTCGTTCCAAGCTGGCTCGCGAACCCATGCAGGCCTCGCAGCGCGGCCCCAGGAAACCACTAATGCATTGGTGGTCTTTGCCACCTGTTGAGGGATGGGGTCAAGGGACAATGATGTTCAGCCCGTGCTCTTGGGCCATGCGTCTGAGCATGCGGGTGTGCCGAATGTCTAGGGATTCAACACATGGACGAGGTGCGCTGTGCGGCACGAAGAATGTGCTCCTACCCTTCCAAAACCGCGCGGCCCTTGCCCGCCCCCCGCCGGCCCGACAACCCACGCGGCCCCTTGTCTCGCGCCCCTGCCCCGCGACCGCGACAGTCGCGCACCCTGGCCAAGATCCCCACCAAGCCGGAGGACCTGCCCACCTGGAACTACGACGGCTCCTCCACCGGCCAGGTGCGGCGGCCGGCGGCGGCCTCAAGGGGGGCATGCTCGTTTGTCAGGCGGCAGGCTGGAAGAGGCACAGGGGACGCCAACATGTTCAATGCATTGGTTGAGGGCACCTCTCGGGCCGGCAACTGCAAGGGCCGGTGCTGCCGGTAGGCCTCGGCAGCACGCCAGGTCCCGCATTGTCCAGGTTCGCGATGCAGCAATCGGCAGCGACGCCGCCTTTCAACGCGGCATAACGCTCCCACAACGCCGCGCGATTGTGCACGCCCCCGCAACGCCGCCAGGCCCCCGGCGAGGACTCTGAGGTGTACCTGGTGCCGCGCTCAATCTTCAAGGACCCCTTCAGGGGGGGCGACAACATCCTCGTGCTGTGCGACGCGTACGAGCCCCCGCGTGTCAACCCCGACGGCACGGTGCGCGCGTCTGGGCTTGGCTGGCGAGCTTCAGGCGCAGTTGGTGCCAGCGGCGGCGCGCGGGAGCAGTGCCGAGCGCGGCACCATGATATGGGAGGGGGCTCCCCGTGCGGCGGCGGTGTTGCGTCAGAGCAGCATCTGGGGTTCGGGCGGCCGGTGCCACTGGTGGACACACTCCTGTCCGGCGCTGCCAGGGAGCGACATCACCCACGTGGCAGTCTGGCGCAGCGTTGTGCTGACGGTGTCGAGCGCTGTGACTGACCGTACACCGCCCCCTGCCTGCTGCGCCCCGCAGGTGACGGACATCGTCCCCATCCCCACCAACACGCGCGCCGCCGCGGCCGCCGTTATGGAGAAGGCTGCCGCCGAGGAGCCCTGGTGCGCGGGCGGCGCGCGGCTCGTGCGGGCGCGCGGAGCAGCCTCTTGCAAGCTCGTCCGACACGTGCCCAAGTGCAGTCGCACACACCTGCACGCAGCCAGATGTGCACATAAACCCATTCCCTTACAGGCATGCACGTGCGCGCGCACTCTCCCAACCCCAGGTTTGGCATTGAGCAGGAGTACACCCTGCTGAACGCCCTGACCAAGTGGCCGCTGGGCTGGCCTGACAACGGCTACCCCGCGCCCCAGGGCCCCTACTACTGCTCAGCGGGCGCTGGCTGCGCCATCGGCCGCGACATCGCCGACGTGCACTACAAGGTGTGCCTGGGGCGTGCGCCTGGGGAGGGGGGTGCACGCGCCATTCCCCAGCCAGGCCAGCGGCAACGCGGCGGGTTGCCGCCTTACTCTCGGGGGCCCGTGCCATGGCGCCGGCAGGGTCGACAAGGCGGGAGGGGCTCGTGGGCGATTTGCAGCACGCCCAAGCCTTGCAGGGCGGTCGGAGGCTGGCGGATCGTCTCAGGCCAGGCAGGCGCCCATGTTGCACCGCTCGCTCTGCCGCCGCTGAGTGCCTTGCCCTTTCCCGGCCGCGCCCCTCGTGCCCCGTGCGGTTCGCCCTGCCCGCCAGATGTGCCTGTTTGCCGGCGTGAACATCAGCGGTGTCAACGCAGAGGTCATGCCCGCCCAGTGGGAGTACCAGGTGGGGGCTGGGGCCGATGACGTCAGCGGTTGTCAGCTGCCGGGTCGCTGCTTGCGTGCGGGGCCGGTCGGATGTGGGGATGGGCTCGGTTGCTCCAGGCGGCGGGCGGGCCGGCACCCTTCGTGCTGGCCGCCGCCTCGTCTTCATAGCAAAGACCGACGCAGCGGCGTACGCACCCGAGTGTCGACCCGCATGCACACGCTCGCGCACGCCCCGCCACCCACAGACGCGTCCCCCACACCACGCCGCACCACACCGCCCACACCGACACGCTCCCCCACAAATGCGCCCGCCACCCCCCACCCCAAAGGTCGGCCCCTGCGTGGGCATCGACGGCGGCGACCACATGTGGATCAGCCGCTACATCATGTACCGCGTGGCGGAGATCTTCAACGTAGACGTCTCGTTCGACCCCAAGCCCATCCCCGGCGACTGGAACGGCGCCGGCGGTGAGGCTCCCATGTCAAAGCTTGCATTCCCCCCTTCCCCTCCTCCTCATGTCAAAGCTTGCATTCCCGTGAACGGCTCGGCCGCAGCAGCTGCGCGCCGCAGTGTGTGTTTTTGCACCCTTCAGAGGCCTTCGGAGGAGGTGAGGTGCCGAACACCGCGCTCAAACCCCCGGCTCACCTCCCCCCATCCCCCCCCAGGCCACTGCAACTACAGCAACAACGCGACCCGCGCGGCGGGCACTGGGTGGGACGCGATCCAGGAGCAGATCGCCAAGCTGGAGAAGAGGCACGCGGTGCACATCGCGTCGTACGGCGAGGTGGGGACCCGGGCGGGTGCGGCGGCGCGCTCGGCTTGGCTGCCTCGCGGTGCAGGCTGGACCTGGTTAGAGGCACGCCACCGGATATCCATTTTTCCATCAATCGGTGGACAGTCATTGGCAGCTTCTCAAGCTGTGGACGTTGAGAGCCTCAAACGCATGACATTCCCCATTTTGCCCCCGCCACCTGAGAACGGCCTCCGCTCTGCCATCCCCACCGACCCCCTGTCCCCACCCCAGGGCAACGAGCGCCGCCTGACCGGCAAGCACGAGACGTCGTCCATGGAGTCATTCTCCTGGGGCGTCGCCAACCGCGGCTGCAGCATCCGCGTTGGCCGCATGGTGCGCCATCCCCGCGACGATTCGCGCCCGCTTGTGCTTTTGGCGGCTTGCCAGGGCTGCACTGGTGTAAGGGCCCTGCGCCGAACTCAAGCCGCTCATTCATGGCCTGTCACGCCCCTCGCACCTTTCTTCTCTGAAACCCCTTTGGATCCACCCCTGCCTCTTTCTCTCTCTCACACACACACACAAACACACACACACACACACTCTCACACATGCCCCCCCTTCTACACACACACACACACACACGCGCGCGCGCGCGCGTGCGTGCAGGTGCCCGTGGAGAAGAGCGGCTACTACGAGGACCGCCGCCCTGCCTCCAACCTGGACCCCTACGTGGTGACCAAGCTGCTGGTGGAGACCACGCTGCTGCTGTAGGGCCCCCTTCAGCGCCACCACGCGCGGCCCCGCGCCCGCCCCCGCGCTCGCCCGCCCCCTCCAACGCGCGGGCCCCCCGGCCCGCGCCCGCGCGGCAGCAGGGCGGCGGCGGCGGCGGCAAACCTTACATACGTACCGCGCTCTCTTTGTACTCTCGGGCCGTCTGCCCCGCCCGGCTGGGGCTGTGTGTTCTCAGCAGGATAGCCAAGCCCCGCGCCGCGCGGCCGCGTCCCTCTAGGCCGCCCCGCCCCGCACCCTTTCCTGCAGCGGGGCCCCTCCCCCCTCCCAGAGGAGGGGGCTGCAGGATATGAGGGGGCGTGCGTGCGGGCCGCGAGGGGCCGCCTCGCACGGCCGCGGGGCGCTGCTCATCCGGCGCTGCGCTGTATTCGATGCCGCATTTGCATGCCTTTGAAAGCCCCGCCATGTTCAAAACAAAATCTCATTGTGCCAGCTTTGCGGGCGAGCGGGTGTAATTGTGCTGCAGCCAACGGGACGCCGACGCCGCGTCTTGCAAAGAGATGGCGCAAACATGATGAGCATTGACACATGCATGGCGCACGCATGAAGCGCAGGGCAGCCAGCAGTTGCTGAAGGTGTGCAACGCCTGCCCAGGTGGCTTGTCAATGTTGGTGGAATTATGCTCTGTTGGGCTGCGCGGAATTGTAGCAGCACGTGTGTATGGTCAACCACTGGGGTCACGCTGGAGCCCGATCGCAAACCACTAGGCCTGGCTGCACACTGCCACGCGTGTTCTGGGACCCGCGGTGTTGACGGTCGATCGCCGTGTGGCAAGGATACGATTGGGCCGGCTAGCCCACGACAAGCAAGACTACCGGTACCCAGGCAAGGACGGGCATTATCATACTATACCAACAGAGCTCACCCGTGCTCCAATGAAATCCAGGTCAGCATGGCAGGCACCGGTTGCCTTTGGCAACGAGCGCGCATCAACGTGCTCGCAATGCCAGGCCACTGATCCAATTCTCATATAGTCCTGCGCAAAGGGTGCTTATTCAGAGGGCGAACAAACCTACGCATTTTGCTGACAGCAAGATGGGTCAGGTCGCAGTTGAACCGCCCGGGCCGTCACCAAAACAAGAAGACCCCGCTTTGACCATTGAGCTTGTATAGCGTTGAGCCTTTTTTTGCTGGGTTGTCCATCCTCTCGCCGCCGACTCACTGGGGGTGATCTGAGGCGTCCGGCCGAGCTCTCATTATCGGCGAAACATAGCGCACAATATGCAGCACACTTTGAAGTCTCAGGTCAGCAGCGTTGCAGCCGCACCGGTCATCCGGCGAGGCGCAGTGCGGCCTGTTGTGGCGAGCGCTGCAGCACAGCGGCGGCCGGTCCAGCAGCAGCAGCAAGAGCAGCAGCAGCAGCAGCGGCCTAACCTAGCGGTGACACTCGGTGCCGCGGCCCTCAGCATCGGGCTTATGTTCTCGCCAATCCAACCCGCCCATGCAGCGGCCCCACAGGTGCGGCGCCGCGTTGAAACGCTGTGCAAAGAAGCCGTGCGCTCGGAACGAGGCAGTGGCGCTCGCCCTTTCACTGCATAGCGTGCTGCACGCGCGGAGGCGGCCGCATGTCCCGGTCCTCTGGGTCGACCCCGCGTGCTGGTCTGCAGGCTCGCGTCGCGCGGTCCTGTGCAGGCCCGAGCTGTGGGCTCCCCTGTCCCTTTTCTCACTGCACCCGGGTGCGGTAAACTGAACCAGGGGCTGGCGGATCTGGTGAGGGAGGACTACGGCTTCATCGACGCTGACTCAGATGGCGTCATCACCAGGTGCGTGCTGTTGCTTCTGTCCGCAGTGGCGGCGCGGGCCTGGGGCGCGGCCGCGAGCCTCCTGTCGCCCACGTCGATGCCGTGGGATGCGCGAGCGTGGACGGCGGTCACACCAAGCCACTACCTCCTTACACACACACACTCACATGCTCTGACACGCACACACACGCGTCACCAACTGCAACAACACGCATACTTCGGCCCTCGATCGCACACACGCGTCGTCCCCTCCCTCCTTCCCCCCGAATAATCTGCAGGGAGGACCTGCAGGCCTTCAACACCGGCCTCACCGCGGAGGAGGGCGTCCCCTCCATCGGCGACGGCCAGCTGGACTTCAGCCTGAAGCTCTTCGACCTCAACCAGGTGCGGCCGCAGTGGCCGCGGCCACGGCAGGGGGCCGCGCCCAGGCTCCAGGTCAGGCGCAGGGCGGCGCACGAATGGACGGCGGGCGGGCTGGGCGCTGGCGCAGGCCGCAGCGGCGGCGGGCTAGGGTATAAAACCCCTAGCCTCAGCCAGCGGCGGCGGGCGTGCCCCGTTGCAAGCGCCCACGTGGCCCACCCCACCCCCCGCACCACCCACACCACCCCTCACCAACCCCCCCCAGCCGACC